CTTAACACCTAGTTTATAGCCTGAGGAGTCAGGCTCTTATGGGCAGAGGTGCTAATAGTCTATTGACAACAGTTTCTGGGAAATGGCATGGAAGGCTATAGAATACACAGTTTTGGTTTACACTCATACCATGATGAACTCAGCTGTCCTAACTAGGACATGCTGTAACCCCTTCTCTGGGAGGCTGTTCCAGCACCCAAAAACCCCCTTGGTAAAAATGTTTTTCCTAGTATCCAACCTAAACCTCCCCTGGTTGATCTTCATGCCACTGCCCCAGGTCCTGTCAGTGGTCACCAGAGAGAAGAGATCCACTGCCTGCCCCACTTTGGACACTCTATTACCTTTATATCCTTCTCATATTGCAGTGCCCAGAAGTGCACACAATATTCAAGGTGAGGCCGCCTCAGTGCAGAGCAGAGCGGGACAATCCCCACCCTCAACTGGCTGGCGATGCTTTGCCTGGTGCCCCCAGGACACAGTTGGCCCTCCTGGCTGCCAGGGCACTGCTGACTCATATTCAACTTGCCCTCAACCAGGACCCCCCGGTCCCTTTCCACAGGACTGCTCTCCATCATCTTGTTTCCCAATTTGTACAAACGTAAAGATGTATAAATATCAATAAAGTTGTTCTATGTCCAACGTAAAAGTTTTAATTACTTTTCATTTCTCATATTCAAGAAAATGGCCCTTCAAGCTATATCCTGGTAAGGAAAAGATTTCCTTCACACATTAACCAAATGTAATAAATTGGATTGGGAGTCACTTTGTTAATATCTTTAATTTCTGGAACAGAACACTGTTTTTTTTCATTGGCACTACCTGTTCTTTAAAAAAAATAGGCAAAATCATCAGTGTTGAAATATGTCTGGGTATTTATGTGAGATTAATATCATAACCATCTAAGGTGTTACAATGGAAGAGCACTGTATCTTTTCCTCTTTTAAAAGAATATAGTTCAAGTCACTTGACAACAGAAACTTTGTCTTGTAGCCCATTGACCTTTAAAGTGTATTTATTTGACTAGTGAACACTTTCAATCGATTTGTATGGATTTGTATGGATTTGGTACTAGACACATTCTTGCAAATTCTTCCTGTTTACATAATAGGTATGATAGAGTTCAGGAGCTACTAAAGAAAAAAAAGTAAGAAACACATAACCTTACAAAGTAGACTTTGTCAATGGCTGAACTGTAGCTTTCCAGTCACCGAGTTTCCTGTGTCCCTCCTTAATGCCAGCAAACATCAGCACAAAGGAGTGCTTCATTCTCCCAGGCTGACAATGAACTGGAGAAGGTACCACTTTTTTGAACCTACTTTTTTCCTCAAAAGGACTTAACAGCTGAAACCTGTCTTGCCCTGATAAAACAGTGTGAGCATGTATTGGAGATAGGGTTTGTGAGATCAATAACATCTAAGTGATTAATACTGAAGCGGATCTAAAAAAAAAAGATAATTATTTATACCTAATTTTATTTATAAATAAAAAATTGTTCTATGAAAACTGTCGACAAACTTTAGGGACAAACTTTTAAATGCTTTTAGGGAGTGTATTAGTCCCTATCTTTATTGGTGAAGGATCTACAAAGTTTCAATGTGAGACATTTGATATTGAATCATACTAACAAGCCATGCAACAGGAGAGGGAAAAGACTTATGTTTCATTAGAGTAAGGAACCCAGTTATTCCAGTACAGAAGTAACACCTAACCTAAGTAAAACAGTTCTTGGTTTAATTAAGGATAATGGCCAACCATCTCCTGAGCAAGAAAAAGATAAGCTTCAGGAAAAAAACCTAAAACTTCATAGACTTTTCAAGTACTGCTTCATACTAATTTTAAGATTCTGACTGAAAAGGTCATTACAATGACTTTGTAAGCATTTTTAATAGCTACCTTTTTTCTACTAGTATAATAAATAATCTTCTCCTAAATTAGAATCCAGATTTGTATGGATTTGATTTCTTGTTGATTTAGTCTGTCATGCTTCACCTCGTAGACAATTAGATAGTGTTAATAAAAATTTCTCTCTTCATAATGATGAAGTCGTCTCTTTAAAAGCTCTGAATGTTATGCAGTTCTTTTGCTAGGGACATAATTAAAAACTAAGCAGCAAATTAAAAGGACATGTCCTGAAGGAAACCATAACATTCAGGCATAGAAGATGAAAATTCTCAACTTTAACATAATACAGGAGACCTTTTTTTGAAACTTCAACTCAAAGAACACAGACTTAGATCTTTCAGACAATCCAGACTGAAGTCAAAGAATCTGTAATTGTTTAAACTTGACAGCCCTTCCTTGTGACAATTTGTTAGGATTTCTAAGTTTTTTGCAAAGAAAGGAGTTAACCAAGGCAACAATTAGGTAACAGTTATAAAGAAATACAGTCACTAAAGACAGAAGTGTTCGGAGCAAAGAGGAAGAGTGAAATAATTCAAGAGACTGCAGCCACAGAAGCAAAGCCAGTTTGGGCTTTTAAGAT